GCCTCGTCTATCCTGTCTCTATTATTTAATACCAAGTTTATGACTTGCCATGGAAATGATGGTGCATACAATGGACTTCGGACTAGGTGCGTTCGTCTAAGTCTTCCTACCAATATAACTAAGTTGCGAAAACGAGGTCAAACAATTTATATGTAATTTTTTGTTTACTTTTAAAAATGCGTTTTTCATACATTTTTCAGGTAGCCGCTTTATTCAATTTCTAGATACTCCATATAAACGCTTTTCCTCTTCTGCGCAAATTTTTTTATTTGGACATTTTACAAACAAGTTTTTTATTATTATATTTCTTGTTTATATTGTAAGTAATTCTTAGCTTATGACGTTATTGTCTTAGTTATTAAAAATATTACCTGTAACTACTTTTATCTCTACTTCACATCAGGCGACAATTGTCGACGAATCTTTTTCTGATCCTATCAATATTAGTCAAACAGAGCTCTGCAGACCGGCCAGGAATCTTTGTCTTCCGCCACCCGCACAGTCAGAACCATCATCGATTTCCAACACCTCTATGTCTCATTCATCTACCTCTTATTTGTCCCAAGGCCGCCAAAATATCTTGGAACCCCGACCTCGGTCGCGGACTCTTCAATCCTCGACCAGCCTGGACAGCACCGTCGCCATAGCGTCTGGGAACCAACCAATTGACTCTGCGGAAGCTCTGGAGATCAGTTGCCTTATGAGCCAGTTAACTTGGAGACTTCTTGGTGAGCCAGCTGCCAGTGAGGTACGTCACCGACTTGACTACCTCGTTGAAAGGTTCATGGCACTCCGGCTCGATGGGGACGAATTCGCCTGTCTCAAGTTTCTTGTCCTTTTCAATCCTGGGAAGCACGGTCAGTGCTGATCCTGCTTTTAAACATGATCATCATTATCGTTTTGACCTTGTTTCTTCGCTCTGTCAGCCATTATATTTGTCTATTAATATTCGTCTGCCATTTCTTTATTTGCTTGGTAGTAACATTTTATTAAGTTTAAGCCTTAATAAATTCCAATAGTTTGCACCTTTGCTTGGCTACTATTTTTTCTCCTAGTATTTCTTAAACTATTTACAACACTCAAAACAGAGATTCATTTTAGTCTCAATATTTTTGTTAGGGGTTGCTTTTATTGAAAAGCTTTAACATGAATTTGAGTCATCATGGATTGCTTAATATGGTGTAAGAATACTATTTAATCTTACAATAATGAAAAAAGTAGGTCCAAATTCTATTTAACATTACTTAGCCTTCCTTTCAA